AGTGTGTGTGTTGTGTATAGTGGAGTCAGGCTGTACTGACCGGGGCTTGTGTGTGTCTTGCAGGGCAGTGTGCGGTTCATGAAGCTGCTCCTGGCTCGCAGGGCGGACTGGCTGCAGAAGGACCTGGAGGAGATGACCCCTCTGCACCTGAGCACCCGACACCGCAGCCCCAAGTGCCTGGCCCTGCTGCTGAAATACATGGCTCCTGGGGAGGTGGACACCCAGGACAAGAACAAGGTGATAGGCAGGCCCACCGCGAAAGATGCAGATGCTATCAGAAGAATGCTAAGACATTATTGAAAATAGATTGCGTGGTGGCGCAGTGGTTAACACACAGTGCTCGGGCCCTGGGTTCAGTTTTGTACCTGGGTTGCTGTCTGCCTGGAGTTTAGACATTCTTCCTGCGGTTGTTTGGGTTTTCTCCCACAGACCAAAGACATACGGGGAGGTTAATTGGCTTCTGGGAAGACTGGCCCTGATGTGTGTCAATGTGTGCTGTTCGATGGACTGACGTCCTGCCCAGGGTGTACCCTGGGTATTCCCTTTGCTAGGCTCCCCCTCGACCCTGAATTGGAAGAATTTGCTGGCACGGCCTTAATTTCATTATTAATGTGCAGGCAGAAGTAAGCGAACAGCTGTGAGAGGCAGCCAGACATCTTGTCCTGTGGTTGATTTGGATTGGCGTTTCTTTGACCCCCCGTAGTAGGGATTAGGGGTCCCATTGAAGTTTTGCTTGTGGAATTCGACACACGTCGGCTCTGCTTTGTCCCAGATGTTCAGGCTCGGGGGTTCTGTGGGATCTCGGAGGTCATGTGCGAGTCAGCCATCACCGCCACACACCGCAATTAACACAGCCTGAGATGTGCGAGCTGCTCTCAAGTTGCAGGAAGGATGTGAACTCTCATAAAACAAATTCGAATAAAAGCATTGCTTTTTCGTTTAATAAACCTCAGCTGCCTGGGCTTGGCGTACACACGGAGTTTCAGCAACGAACCCTGTGCAGGGAGAGTTTAACCTTCTGAGCTTAAACTCTCCAGCCCCTGGCCGGTCTGACTCTCCGTGTTCACGCAGAAAATATACAAGACAGAGCTGTTAACTGGACTGAGAGTTCATAGCATAGTCTGCATGTACATTAAAAAAGTAACAAGTGATAGGTTTATTCCATGCTGAAAAGAGAAGAAAGAAAACACAGCGTTTTGGCCGTGGAGCCTTCTTCAGGTGTCACAAACCTATTACTTGTTCCTTTGCAGCCTGCGCATCCTGATGCAGCTCCCCACCTGAACTACTTTTTAAAAGTATATTAAAAATGGAAAATCCAGAACTGGCAACCCACTTAAATTATTTTTGTCCTCCTCGGTGTGGGTGTTTATTGTGAGGTGTCCTGGGCATTGCCAAGTGAAGGTCCCTCCCTGGCGCTGAAAGACCCTCTGAGCACTACTTGGTTGTGTCCTACTGCACGCAGAGTACTCACCATATGCAGGCCAAATGTGCAAAGCCAGTAGCTGCTAATCGTTAAGATTTTTTTAAATTCAAAGGAACAGCCTTAATAAACTGCGCCCCCCCCACCACCACCTCGCTGATAAATAGAGCGGATTTTGAACCCGCAGCTGGGGTTTGCACAGACCCAGTGGAAAATAAGGTGGTGCTTTTCTCTCCCATCAGCGCCAACCTGTATTTAACTCTGTTTGAGAACGGGCTCGCTGGCCGAGCTGAGAGCAAAGAAGCAAACCTGTTTCTTGTGGATGCGTCTGTGTAAAATAAAAATGGAACAGGCAAAGGTTTAGTCCATGCTGAAAAGAAAAGACATTGTGTCTCTTCTCTTTTCAGCATGGAATATACCTTTACCTCTTCCTTTGCAGCCTACGCGTGCTGACGCAGCTCCCTGCTTGAACTTTTAAATAAAGGAACAGGCAGTGGGTTTATTCCATGCTGAAAAAAAAAGAAAGGAAACACAACATTTTGGCTATGGAGCCTTGTTCAGGTGTAAGGAAAAAACGTATTTCTTTTCTTCTCTTTTCAGCATGGAATAAACCTTTATCTGTTCCTTTGCAGCCTACGCATGGTGACGCAGCTCCCTGCTTGAACTGTTTAAATAAAGATTGACCGATGTGTCTTTCAGTCCGGGGCATGCTGTGTAATTGTCTTTAAGTGATAGCCTGGGAGTGTGATGCAAAACCGATCAAAATGATCCACAAACACACAAACACTGAGGCTGTGGGCTGCTTAGATAGGGCAGTTCCCAGGCGAGGATGGAGGGACCCAGAACACAAACTCCCCAGTCACGGCACGCTCTGAGCACCTCCGCACAGGAAACACAGTGTTTGGGTGCTGCTATTGTCTGCTTGCTGTAGCTGGCCCTTGATGCAGGCACATGCCCTTCATTTTGCAAGATGAGCCATCTTTATTTCTCTCCAGTTCCTTTTTAGGTATGAAAAAGGAACAAGGGGGTATTTTTTTTGTTCGTTAGCAGCCAGTGGTTTGTGTAATGCCAGGGTTTCCCCTCCCACTCCCGGTTCTTATTTTCTTAAAGTCTGTTGCTTAACTGGCCAAAGTTGACAGTAGTCTCACTGGTGATTTGAACTGCGCTGTGAGGAGGGCCAGGGCAGGCCGGCACTTCGGCACCTCGCTTGTCGCTCAGGGTGCTGCGTGGGGCCCGGCGCTCGTGGAGCTCGGTGGGTGACCCCGCTCTCGTGTCGGCCCCTGCAGCAGACAGCCCTGCACTGGAGCGCCTACTACAACCACCCCGAGCACGTCAAGCTGCTCATCAAGCACGACTCCAACATCGGCATCCCTGACGTCGAGGGCAAGATCCCCCTGCACTGGGCCGCCCACAACAAGGACCCCAGCGCCACGCACACTGTGCGCTGCATCCTGGTGAGTCAACCGTACCGAGCGGGCGGAGCCCATGCTCCTGGCTTCTCTCGTGACATCCCCCACGCCTCTTGTCTGTGCTCCTGATGCGCCTTTCGGTGGAGGGACTTATTTTGGTGACCCTGTTTGTTGACTGTGTGCTTTTGCAGTGAAAAAAAGCCAAGGGCCAATGAACAATGCTGTGTTTTTTTACTTTTCTGAATGAGATCAGTGGAAGAGGGGAAAGCCCAGAATTCCTGGCGAGGCCTCGGCCTTTCTGGGCTTGAGTGCCATGCTTTTCCTCCGACCCGCGACCTTTCGATTTGTGGCCGAGCAGCTGTGGTGTCTGAGTTGGCGATGTCGGCCGCCCCGCTCCCCCTGCAAGACAGACAGCCCGGCGCTGTGGTTTCACTCCACTCGACACCCACAGCCGAGCGCAGAAGAGGGGGAGGGGGGGGCTATCCTGGTCCGGCCCAGCTGATGACAGGCACCCCTAGGGTGGAGGAGGCTGGAAGGACCACTTGGAGTGGAGCTGTAACCAGCTGGTTGAGAGCCACTGGGACAGAACAAGGGCAATTATGATCACAAAATTTCCATTCGAATAAATCGTCAGTTGAGTGTCTTTAAATCCTCCTGTTCAACACCGGTTCAACACAGAGACCGGAGACATCATCCTAACACACAATTATGTTAATAAAGGATGTATAAAATACTTGTATTCCAGTTTGCAAAAGTACAGAGAAACATTTCTGAATTCCATAATGTTCCTGCAGTACATTCTAAAGCATCACATTGAACTTTTATGACTCCATCCTAGAAAAAAGGTTTTTAAAAGTTCATGATTTTTTATACAAAGGGAGAGATTTAGAACAGTGCAATTTACGTGAACCAGCCCCGCATGTGCACGTCAGTGCCAACGTGACTTTTGGAGAGGATGCAGTTTTCAAATCCTTGCTTTCGTCCTTTGCACGACATTGCTTGTCGGCCCTCTGAGTTGTGACCAAAATGGAGAAATTCTCATCTTGGCCGGTAAAAAATAAAAATTGACATTCCCCAAATGTGCTCGAGGTCAAAAACCAGAAAAAGGCGATCTTTTTATCGAAGGTGTGGTGAGTAAAACAAGTAAAAACAAAAAAAATAATAATTGCTTACACTTATATAGCTCTTTTCTGGACACTCCACTCAAAGTGCTTTACAGGTAATGGGGACTCCCCTCCACCACCACCAGTGTGCAGCCCCACCTGGATGATCCACCAGTACACTCACCACACACCACGTATCAGTGGGGAGGATGAAGCCCATTCATAGATGGGCATTATTAGGAGGCCATGATTGGTAAAGGCCAATGGGAAATTTTGCCAGGATGCTGGAGTAACACCTCTACTCTTTTCGAGAAACGCCCTGGGATTTTTAATGACCACAGAGAGTCAGGAACTCGGTTTTACATCTCATCCGAACGACAGCCCCTTTTTACAGTATAGTGTCCCTGTCCCTATACTGGGGTATTAGGATCCACCCAGACTGCAAGGTGAGCGCCCCCTACTGGTCCCCACCAGCTGAACTTCACTGGGCTGCCAGTTGTGAGTTGCAGGGTGATATAGCCCCTGGCAAAAATCAGAAAACAGTGCAGCCTTAGATTGTGTATTATGCTAGTTGGCCTGTATTTTGTTTTGATTAGAAATACTACTACTATTATAATAATAATAACAGCTGTAGCAAAGTATCTATCATTTCCTCTAGGGCCAATGGAAGTGCTGTCTTATCATATACAGTAGATGTCCTGATTGATCTATGATGTCTTACTCACCCCCTCTGTGAAATATTGTTTTGAAATACATCAATAGTTTCAATACAACTATACCTTTAACATCCCAATCTGTGTACGTTCAGCATTTAACATCAGGTCTGTGCAGTTTGGGGATTTTAAAGTGTGCTTTATTTCAGCGCTGTAGCTTGACCAAGTTGAATATTATCATTGATTCATCTCTAATCTTAATAATAAGGTGTCTACCACAATCTAAGTACTTAAATGAGAATATTTGCTTCACAGTCATAGATATGTTAAAATTGCCTTTTGTCTTCTGAGCACTAAAATTAATCCCCCCCTTTTCCAATTAGCTGTTCCAAAGACAGGAAAGGTGGCAGTGAGAGTAAAAAGCATGGGACATTTTACAGCCTCAACTCGATATCATCCCATAGGTTGCAATTGGTTGAAATGATCAGATCATTTCATCTGGGTGTTTCCTCTGCTTTGCATGACTGCATCTGAGATGTGTTGACAAGAAACCGAGGAATAACTGTTTGTCGTGCACACACAGAGTTGGTTTATGTACTGAAGCATTTCTGAAAAGATAATATTGAACGACCGCCTTAGGCACTAGACCTAGATCTACGACAACTGGCTTTCCAGGCTGCAAGGATTCAGCTCGTTCAGCCTGTTACAGCATTTTCTTGAATTAAAATGTATGTCACCACCTTCTTGTATCAATTTTGTATTTGAGAACTGACACGAAAACCTTGTTTTCGGTTGTTGTAGTAATATATTTAGTTAAACAGGTATAAACGTTCAGATGGGTGTTAGCAGTGGTTAGCGTTGCTGCCTCAGTGCTGGGGCCCTGGGTTCAAGTCTGGATGTAGTTTGCTATATGTGTGGAGTTTGTGTGTTCTCCCACGTGTTCATGTGAGTTTCCTCTGAGCGCTGTGGTTTCCGGAGATATCCGGATAGGTTAATTGGCTTCCGGGAAAACTGGCACAGGTGTAAGTGTGTGTTTGTGATGGTGTCTATTCCAAGGTGTATCCCACCATGCGTCTATTGCTTGCTGGGTTATGCTCTGGTTTCCCCTGCACTGGATAAAGCAGTTTAGAAGATGGATGGAAGAAAATTTCATATTATTTCTGAAGTCCGAAGCTGACCAGTAAAATTCCTGTGTGGCCACTAAATGTTTTGCTTGTGCGCCAAGCTAAAATGGCCACGCTCAGGCTGCGGCCTGTACCAACCAGAGTTGGAGCTGGCAGTGACTCAGAGCTTGCGTCTGGTGTCGGTTAAGCAGGTTGTGGAGTTCGGAAGAGCACGTTGTGTACGGGTGGTGTGATAAACAATGACTTTGCGCCTCGCCGTGTTGTGTGTGAGCCCCCGCTGTGCGTGTGTGTGCTCCGTAGGAGGCTGCCCCCACAGAGTCCCTCCTGAACTGGCAGGACTACGAGGGCCGCACACCGCTGCACTTCGCGGTTGCCGATGGCAACGAGGCGGTGGTGGCCGTGCTGACATCGTACGAGGGCTGCAGCGTCACCGCCTACGACAATCTGTTCAGGACCCCCCTGCACTGGGCTGCTCTCCTGGGTGAGTGAGCGAGTGAGGGCATCGGTTCCCAGACGCCTTCGTTCAGTTCCACACACAACTGCTTCCCTTTGACACATTTCCCGTTTTATTTTGTAACGGAAGTGAAGTCGCCGAAGTGAAGTGGCTTTTCATAGCGTCACAGAGAAACGCGCACAGAGTCCATATCCATCAGCGTTAGCTCGGCACATCTGAGAAGGCAGTTATCACTTAAAACAGGGAAGTTAAGCTACAAAGTTAGATCAGGTGCCACTGCCTGGTCATGGGACGATTGCGCATTAGCAAAGATTTTAATCTGATGGATATGGATTAAGCCAGAGGTCTCACAATCTGGTCCTGGAGAGCCCCAGTCCACTTATTCTTATCGCCCTGAATCACCTGTTGTTTACAGATTAGGATCACTCGTTAAGCAATCGATCTATTATGTGAGTCATGTTTCAATGAAAGGAACACGGGTCTCTGAGGGCTAAATAATTTTGAGTTTTATGAGCACACCACCAGTTTGATGGGTTTGGTTGATATTTAATTGTCCCAGGCCTTTAGAAACTGGTGATTTAAAGAAGAGAAATGTAATTTCCAATTCACTAGCCACATGAGCTGCTGGTATTGTTTATACAGAAATGTTTTTGACAGAGGATGTGAAGCTGTTCTGACTGAATTATCCAAGACTAAAATTATATTCTGAATCTTCCGCATTTTTGTGAAATTTGGATTTTTCTGATTGTTTCTCACCATAGTAATTTAAAGATTCAAATTTAACCATAGCCAATAGTATTATAGTTTTGGATCTTGAGCAGGTTTTTGTGTAGAAAAAAAAAGCTGAAAGTTCTTACTTAATTTCTTTATTGTCCCCACTGGAAATCTGGTTTGCGGGGAAGGGAAGAAGAACCATAACAGAATTCATTTAAGGCATCTTGAATCCATGAACAGATAAAAAACAAGTCTGAAGTTTTAACTAATTAGTAAAATAAAGACTTTGGGTCATCGGTGATTGAACTAGATACCTAAGATACATGATACATGAAATAAAATATTATACATGAAATAAAATAATCAATTAGATGTGCAAACCGAGCAGGTTAATACCTGTGGGAATAAAGGATATCTTTGTTTTATTGCTTTTAAATTAATGCCATAATGGGAAGAGCTAACATTCACTGTGCAAATGATTAGATTGACTTCCACACTATTAGCTTGATATACGTGTCTACCAGCTGTATCTGTTGTTTGACGATACCGTCGCTGGCTACCTTCATTTTCCTGCTCATTTTTTATCGCGGTTATGAAGGTTACCAAACCAGACACCCATAGTGAATGTTTCATAAAAGTTCTGCTGAAAAAGGCCTTCATTGTACTACATGATTAAAATTAAAATACATTAAAAGCAGAGTTTTCTCAGGAAGAACAATTGCTGGTGGCTCTTACATACTGTATAGCTTCTGTGTTTTTCTCAAAGGTTAGCTTTGCCAAGACATTTGTAACTGCTGACAATTTCAGCTTCTTGCCTGTCTTTGCTGGGTTATGGCGTTTGAACTTGCCCAGGCGACTCCAGAAACGTGTCGGCGTGAAGACAGCGCTGTGCCCTCATGTGACTGACTGTGTGCTAAAGCTTGTGTGCGGTGTGCCCAGGTCATGCCCGCATCGTGCACCTGCTCCTGGAGAGGAACAAGTCTGGCACCATCCTCTCAGACAGCCAGGGAGCCACCCCGCTACACTACAGCGCCCAGAGCAACTTCGCGGTGAGAGCTGTTCTTATTTTCATTCGTGTGTGTGTCTGACTCTCTCCTGTCGGGTCACAGTTTCAGTGTGTGTGTCTGACTCTCTCCTGTCCTGACACAGTTCCAGTGTGTGTGTCTGACTCTCTCCTGTCAGGACACAGTTTCAGTCTGTGTCTCTGATCAGGACACATGTTCAGTGTGTCTCTCTCTGATCAGGACACAGTTTCAGTGTGTCTCTCTCTATGTGATCAGGACACAGTTTCAGTGTGTCTGTGTCTCTCTCTCCTGTCAGGACACAGTTTCAGTGTGTGTTTGTGTGTCTCTCTCCTGTCAGGACACAGTCTCAATGTGTGTGTCTCTGTCTCATCAGGATACAGTTTCAGTGTGTCTATCTCTCTCTCTCTGATCAGGACACAGTGGCAGTGTTCCTGCAACACCCCTCTGTAAAGGACGACGTAGATCTGGAGGGCCGTACAGCCTTCATGTGGGCTGCTGGGAAGGGTAGCGATGATGTAATCAGGACCATGCTGGACCTCAAAGCTGACATTGACATCAAC